AAAACTACGCAAACTTACATGAGAAATGTAGCTGTACATCCACAAAATATAGGCTACTTTGTTTCATAAAGCGCAAAAAAAAAGACAGGTAGTTTTGTTTTTAAAAGCCCCTAAGTGGTTCAAACAATAGGTCCCCCCATTTCAACAAATGAGTTTTTTTAGACTAGAAGAGTTCTGCCTTTTAAGATAGGAAAGTATAGCAGTTAAAGTTGCTACTTGAGAAAATACTGAACCATAGAGATAAAAATAGCCCCGTGATTCAAATTATAAATTGTATTTGGAATAAAAATGAGAGAACTAGGGGTGCTAAAAAACACATCCTCCAAAGACAGATATTTACATGGGAATGTGGCAGATAATTAATTGACATATTACTGATCTTGCTGGATTTTATTCTGCTTTACTTCCATAAATTGCAGGATCTTCTTTACTTTATCTTTGCCAGAAGATTTAAACTTTAAAAGCCTTGCCCTCATAATTTGCAAGTTAATTTATTTATAAAGGCTATTTTATCAATTTGCGCCGTCAATCCCGGCGCATGCGCGCTTCATTTGCAGTCTGGACGCTGAGGGTAAACATCCTGCGGCTCTGACTGCAGCTGCTGCCTCACAATACATGCTTTCAGGTAAGAGTCTTCAAAAGCCGCCAGTGACACCGTAAAAAGTCGCCAGATTTGTCGCTAGTCGCTTTTTTGAAAAATAGTCGCTGGAGGGGTCTGAAAAGTCACTAAATATAGCGACAAAGTCGCAGAGTTGGCAACACTGCGCCTGCAGCGCTGGCTCACTCTGCCGTATTTTTTCTTCTTCCCCCGTTTCAGTCAAGTGGCAGTGATGACGGCGGCGGCGGATGACACATTAATCGCGCGACACAACTAATCGATGATGAAATTCGTTGCCAACGCTTTTAAAAGTCGATTTTTATCGATTTTATCGATTCGTTGTTGCAGCCCTAGTTTCTATTATTGACAGAAGGCGGCAACATCAACGGCTTAAACTTAAAGAAAAGATCCTGAGTGACTAATGTGATGCTAGTTTGAACATTAAAGGATTCTTTAAATAACTTATTTGTGTTTCTAATGTTTTTTTTTGTTTGTTTGGGGTGTTAACTTTTTCAGTTTGTATTTAAAGCTTAATTCAAATAGAGAAAAACACAAAACTAAACAGATGTGGAAAACCCCCATTAAAAATGCTCCTTATGTTTACAAGAACAGATAATTAACCCTCTACATCATTTATTTTATTTTTTTTAATGTTCCAAATTTTTATGGAATTTCTGATTCATGTGGACTGGTACTGATTGCCTTTATAGCAGCTAAACCCTTCTTATTATTGCTCATCAGCTATTTGGATGTCTCTGCCAGTATTTTTGGAAAGGGATCGTTGGCCAAGTCTTTGAGCTTTGGAAGACCTCATTCCCATCACCCTAATTTTTCAAATTCCCTGTTGGATTCAAGTCAGATTATTATTACTCCCAGCCATAGAGAGTGATTATATGTTACAATATGTTATAATTCTGCCAATTTATCAAAAATCTTGCAGATGTTGGCAAAGATAAAAGGAGATTTTCACCGTTCCCACATACTTTTAAAGAAGCACAACTAATAGCTAAGTGAATCTCCTCATAGCCGTGATCATGGTGTACTTTTCCACAGCAGATCTGCATTATCGCCTGAGTAAACTGCACACAGGCCCTTTTTTAGCGTTGTTGGTCTGATAACGAGTTTAGACATGCAAATACAGGATACAAATTGTAATTTTCCCCCAATATGCTCCGTTTAACAGGCTAATAGAGATGGCCTGAATGCTGCCGCCTCTTTCTTTCCTACTCTGGTTTTAGTTTTGAGGAGAAAGTTGATCCTACCCCCCCGGCCCCTTTTCCTGCTGGGATTAAGGGCCTGTCAGACATATGTGATCCAGGAAATACCTTTACTAGGCCCAAGTGAGGTCACCATGGCAACTGGCACTAGAACCTGCCACTGCAGGCCCCGCTTTTACTCGCTCCTGTGCACATGCTCACTGGCCTGCTCTCCTCGTTCCCTCTTCCCCTGTATTGTTTGAAGTCCTTTGTTGTCATGGTGGGAGGGATTAGCCGGGGCTGCGGATGTTTCCCTCATGTTGTTCTGTATACATGTGCTCTCTGGATCTGATCGGGGAGGAAGTGTCGAAGAAAAGTCACACAATGTACTTTGAAAAAGGTTTAGAGAAATCCCGTGCTTGAGGGATTGTTTACCAGTGTAGTATCTGATTGTTTGTGATGATGCTGAATGGGCTGTGGAGGTAATGGGTAAAAAGGATGTACTTTAGTGCTGCCTTAGGGCGCCTTAGAAATCCACAAAGCTTGAGGCTGAGCTTTGTGAAGAGGAGAGACGCAAGTTTCTACCAACAAACTTGGTTAATGTTAATAATGACTTTTTAGCTGGGGTTTTTTTTTTCTTTTGTTAAGGTAAATGATACTTTTTGGGAGTTGTTTGGTTCAGAGTATGTTCTAGATAAATAAGTATCATCCTAAAGCAAGAATTGGTCAGCAATGCTCTTCACCTTCATTACAAGACAAACAGCGCAGTGATGGACAACGTGTCGGTATAATTGGGTTATTCCTCCTTCTAGCGGTTGCTTGGTCATTTAGAACCAGGGGGGCTCAGGTGTCTCTCTCGGTGACATATCTCCTCCTTTCATTCCCGTAATCTAATTACTCCTCCCTTTTCTGAGGAGCTTCTCTCTTTTTTTTTTTTTGCCTGAAAATGAAGCCTTGACCAACTTGATATTTTTATAGCAATGTTGGCAACTTGCACAGAAGAGGTAAATGGATGTAAAGTGTTTTACGATGCAGTTTGAATATAGAAGACCTGCTTCATTTATTGTACAGTGAAGGTAAAGCCTCAAAGTTTTTAGTTTTTAATTGTTTGCCTAAAGAGGTTTTCTACTCCTCTTATTTAGCATTGCATACAGTTGACGAGCCTTACACTGAATTTACATTGAAGCTCTGATGTCCTTTAAAGATAATTCTTAGATTATACAATAAACGCCAATGGTGGTAAAACCAAAACATGTTATTCTATGGATTTTAAAACTGATAAAACATTCACATATTTTCACTTTTTATATCCTACAATAGGCGATACACTGAGTCAGGGCTGCAATTAACCATTATTTTACAAATCGATTTTTTTTTCACCTATTATACCAGGCGAAACAAAAACTTTTCCACATGAGGAGTTCTTGATAGAGCCTATTGACATAGTTTTTTTTTTATCTTAAAAGCAAAACTTTTATACATTTCTTTTACGATTTTGTTTTGATATAATTTTTGCTCTAAGTGGGTTCCTCTCTCAGCCAAAGGCGTGTTTTAGAGTCTCTACACTCTTACACTCTTACTAAATTAGTTGACGATTAATTCAATAATCAATTAATCACAATAATCGAATTGTTTCAGCCCTGCGCTGAATGCAGATAAAGCTATATTTCATGATTGTTTTCAACATAATTTCAAGAATTGCTTCTTTTCAATCCGATCTATATTACCTGAATTAAATGACTAACGCTATGCATCATATTGATACTACTATTATACATTTAGCAGCAAATTAATAGTAGATAATGATTTTTTTTTTTATTTGATCTTTGGGTATATGAAACGATCTTTAGGAGTTGATATTGGAATCAATTCAAAGTTTGAACATCTTTTTTTTGTTTTTTTTTTAATTAATGCAGTCCCGTTATTTATTTGGTTGTTTGCTTATATATATATATATATATATATATATATATATATATATATATATCTCAGTAAACAATGTAATAAAGTCTTTAAAGGTATTTTGGGGAAAAATGCGGACCCATTTCTCCTTGTGCACACTCTTAAAATGTGCTATTCAAAAGCTCATACAAGCTCACTGTGTCCTCATACAGAAGCGACTATATAGTGGACTTTATAGTGAACTTAGTTAACTGCCCCGTTGATCACGTAGCTCCTCCTTCACTGTGCGGTGCCTCTTTATCTTTATTAGTCTCCGCAATCGGCTGGCGACAGCCTATGGCGACAGTGGGCCGCTGTGACAGTCCCATAATGCTTTGCGAGGAGAGCTCTACACCCAAAGCATTCTAGGATATATCTGTATCTTCAGTGGTCTTTCTTTTCCTCTGACACTTCTTTCTCTTACCACCCTCGGCCATTTTCAAAGAACCTCGGAGAGAAAGTTGAACTTCAATGACTGTCTGATATGCCTGAAAGTGCGCATGCGCAGAAAAGGATAGCTAACGGGACGAGCACGTAGGACGGCCTTACATAAACATATCACCAGAATGATTGACAACTAGGAGGACCACTTATTTTGATGATCCATCCAGGATATAAAAGATCATCCTCTATACCTTTAAGCTAATACGTCTTTAGTGAAGTTTTTTGATTCTTGGATTGTTCCGGCTGTTTTTACTTTATGAAAATTTAATGAGGTCTGAATCCTGCATCAAATCAGGTCGAATTTTCTGACCTCTCACCGCCACTGTGCGCAGGCAGTGTAATGAATACCATTCAGCCTGCAGGATTAATTTGGGATTAGCGTTTGTAAGTAGAGGTAGACCAATACATTGGCTGGCAGATGTCTTTGGCTAATATTGTTTTCTAGCATCTCGTATATTTCTTAGTATGGGCAAGTATTGATTACTGCATACAGCAGCCGTGCCTTGAGATCACATGATGTTTATGCATTGCTGCTCACTTCATTTGCTCTTCATTGTAAATATTTTCTTTGATCTGTTATTAAATTATTTTTTTTTCTTATTGTTTCAATCTTAACGTGTCTAATGTTTATTGTATTCTTTTGCCGGTTTAAAAATCAGCAGCACATATCAGGGATCAGTTAGACTGATGTCATCTGTCTATTTGGAAGTCCATTTCAAAATGATCCGGAAACATTGGGTTCTGGTACACTTTAATCAGATTTTTATTTTTTCCGTGTAAAGTCTTCACTGTAGCCATGTTTGTTTATTGATCTCTTGTAGTCTCTGTGGAAGCGGAGCTGTTCACCCTATATCCCGGGAAGCGCTTGGATCTGAGCTGCGTTTCCAAAGACTTGGGCCACACCGTTAACTGGACCAAAAACCACGTTGCCATCGTGGACGGAGAGCACACACGCATTCGCAAAGGCCAGCTGGAGATCGAGGCGGTGGAGCCGCCTGACTCCGGCCTGTACGCGTGCACCACCTTCGGCAACTACAGCGTCTACTTCAACGTCACAGGTAAACTGTGGGCTTTTAATGAATTTACCTGAGCTGTTTGTCTAAAACAAACCTAGAGCTGTTTGTTGGATCTAAATTTAGATGTTTATACAACATTAAAAAGCTATTTATGGAAAGTAGTGTTTGCTTTACTAAATTACCTGTAGTGAATGAAATGATCTGCTCTTTGTTAAATTAGCTTGTACTACAGTATGTTTGTCAATTACTTAACGAGCCGGGCCTTGCTGAGTGTGAGCACACAAAGCTTCAGCCAGAGATGCAACGATCAATCTTTTACTAGTTAGGTATTGATTTATGGTTTTCTTTGAGGTCTGATAGGCCGTCTTTGATTTTTAGGGATTTTATAATGTCTGCAATGGATAAAAGAGGGAAAAAAACAGTTTTCTTTGATAGATGCAGTACTTTGATTTCCATAGAAATTGAAATAATTACCAGATGAAACATGTTTTTGCCCAAAAAACACTTTTATTTGATTTTCATTAGTCAAAAAATGTAAAAGGAATGTTATTTGGGGTGATTTCCATGTGATGAATAAGTCTTGTTTTTCCTGTTGAATTCACCTGTTAATGCTTAAATTGATCAGTTAAAGGAATAGTACACCCAAAACATGATTAGCCTTCATTTTCTACTCACCTCCATGCTGAACAACACTCTGGAGTACTTTTTTGATATCTCAAATGCATCTGGAGATCTGGGAGACTTCTTGCTGTCTGCTGACATTCAAATAATGGAGGTCTATGGCGCCCGAGACAGAAAGGTCCACAAAAGTCCACAAAAACTTGTCAATATTCCTCCATACTGCTCGTCCAATGTAATCCAAGTGTCCTGAGTGGGTAGCATCCAGAATTTACTCGAAACGAAGTCATTTAGAACGTTTTAGAGCCTAAACAGTATTGTATAGGATTTCCTAATAGCGCCCCCATGCGCGCTCACGATTCTACGGAAGCCGGCAGACCAAACCAGCGCATTCAGCTCGGCAAAGAACTCATGCTCTTCCTCAACACTGAAGTCCTCAGACATTTTTCTTTCGTTGTTTCTTTCTTTGCACAGGTAAACAGCACATTTCTTCTTCTACGCTTGCATTATCGGCAGACCAGACGCTGAATGCGCACTTCCTTCCGGTTTGGTCTGCCGGCTTCCGTAGAATCGTGAGCGCGCATGGGGGCGCTATTAGGAAATCCTATACACTACTGTTTATGCTCTAAAAACATTCTAAATGACTTCGTTTCGAGTAAATTCTGGATGCTACCCACTCAGGACACTTGGATTACATTGGACGAGCAGTATGGAGGAATATTGACACGTTTTTGTGGACTTTTATGGACCTTTCTGTCTCGGGCGCCATGGACCTCCATTATTTGAATGTCAGCAGACAGCAAGAAGCCTCCCAGATCTCCAGATGCATTTGAGATATCAAAAAAGTACTCCAGAGTGTTGTTCAGCATGGAGGTGAGTAGAAAATGAAGGCTAATCATGTTTTGGGTGTACTATTCCTTTAATTTCTATCGTTTACTTTCTCAGAAGCTGCAGCGTGTAGAACAGTTTAAATGTTTCTACTTGGATAATAATTTGCTGCTGACAAACCTGCTGTCATGATCCTATATATTTTTTTTATTCCTGTTCCTAGTTGATGCCCAGGCCTCATCCGAAGATGACGATGATGAAGAAGAATCTTCATCGGAGGAAAATAAACTGTCGACCACCGAGAAGCTGATGCGTGAGTGTTCTTACATCTGTACTTTACCAAAACCTCTGCGACAACTGCTGGACGCTGACTCACCCCGAATGAGCTTCTGACTAACAGTTGCTGCTGCTCGGCGATTTCACCGCTTTATTGGTCAATTATAGGGACGCCATGCGTGTGGGTCACAGTGGTGTGAATGATTTCACTCTGAATCAGATGATCTCTAGAGCCTACGTGACGGCTTTCACGTGAATAATCTCTCTGGTGTCTAATCGTGTTTAACCTCAGTTGTCCACCAATTTGTTTCTTGTGTAATTCAGACAGCCTGGCCGTTTGTTTTCATCACTACTGGCCACTCGGCCCACGAGGAGTCTTAGCAGCTGCCAAGCTCGAGAGGAATGCCGACCCAGTGTCGGTTCCCTCACTTATCTCCCAGTGAGATGTGAACTTCACAGCTTCACCTTACTCGCCTAGTTTCTCTTTTGTTGCGATCAAACCTTTCTAATGAGGATGCCTTCTTAGAAAAAGGTAGAACTAGATGCTTTAAAGTGATTTCAATGAGATATAATCAATGAATGAATGAAAGTATACATAGAAATGACATCAAATCAGCATTTGTAATGAAGAAATGTGTTTTGTTTAATGGAAGTGTTTGAATTTGAGAGTGTTACTGTAGTCTATCAAGAGAGCTTCATGTTTTGGATGCGTTTAAACTAAATTACCTCCTGAGTGTGGCATCAAGCTCTGCTGCTGCTGGTAAAGAATCATTTGTTTAATTCCGGTGGTAAATTTGATAAGGGTTTCACTGCAAAAACCATCTAGAAATAAGTAAAAATTTCTTAAATTAAGTGTATTCACCCTTAATTTGAGCAGGTAAATGAGCTAGTTTGCCAATGGAATGAGTAATTTTACTCTTATAAATAAGATAATTCGATAATATGCACTTAAAATAAGAAAACACAGTGTGTAAGTTGTCTTGTTCCATTAGCAAAATGTCTCTTTTAAGTCCTCAATTCAAGAACAAATGCACTTATTTTAAGAAAAAAAGACTTATCTAGATTCAGATTTTTTGCAGTGTTCCCATTCTGTGTTCCCATGCGTTCCCATGCAGTGTTCCCATTCTGTGTTTTGTGACCCTGAAGGGGTCTTCTCAATTCAATTATCTTCTCAATTCAAGAACATATGCACTTATTTGAAGAAAAAACAAAATGTTTCTAGTGTATACCACCTATGAGGTCATTAAATGTCCAATAGACCTTTTTCACACTTCCGGGTTTTAAAGCGGATGTGGGGTTTGACAACTTCCGGTGGCTATAGCGTTAGCATAAAAGTCTAAGAAAATGGCTCAGTCTCGGCGCAGTTGTTTTTGTTCTGTACCTGGTTGTTCATGTGGGGCAAGAAAACAGCCATATCTGTCCTATCATGCATTCCCACAGATTATGTTGCAACCGCAACAGAAACATAAAACAAATAGTAGCAACTGAACAGGAAAATGTTAGAATAAGCTCTAAGTAGTCCAGAAGTCATACGTGAAAGTTCTTCAGCCGTCAAACATGAACAGGAACCCGAACCAACGAACAAGAGCCAACCGGCTTTCTGACTGTTTCAAACTTGCAGCTTGTGCGGTTCCTCATTTTTCTTCATGTATCTGAAGCATCTAGCTCTGACAACTACCTGTCCCTCGACAATATTTGACACTACAGTCATGCAGAAGTAAAGCATAGTTTCAACGTCAAGCATCATCTAGAATCTCAGAACTAACATAACATTCTAGCATGCTGTTTTTCACAAACTGTAGTGGCAAACAAATTTCAGAATGTCAAAATATAACTGAAAAGTTTAAACTATGTCCGTCTCCAATATTCCACATAATTTAGATACTAAGTTAGGCTTCATTACGATGTTTGTGTAGCTCATATCTTGCAGCTAGCGGTTAGCTCGCTAAGCTACGTCTTTTCTTACCTTGATAGCTGTGGATATATTCTTCGTGGAAGAACTTGTATCCTTTCACAGATTTGTTGGTGGGGGAATTCGCCGCAGCGATTTCCTCCGCATCCGCGAAAGAAAGTGTTCGCAAACTAAGTAAGGATGACGAAAAGCACCGGAGGAGAGACATTTTTCAGAGTAAAACAGGAAGTGCTCCAGCCCTTTCAGACGCAGCTTCCGGTTGTCGTGAAAAAGGTCTATTAAATAACAAAAAAAAATGTGTGTATTCAACAATGTAATAGTGTTCAAAGAATGAATTGAAGTACCGGTACTAATATTATTACTTCACCTCATATGGTTTCATTAATATAAAGTGAAGTGATTAGATGTACATTTTTTAGGGGTTTCCAGTCTGTTGCAAAGTTATCTTTAGAGCTACGGGCTGAGATATTTGTGAACTAGATCCGACTCTTCACAGCAGCTCCTGAGGGCTGGAAGGGCGTCGCCTGATGCAGACTGGTTGGTAAAATGTGTAGAATATCACAGATGTCTGAAAGGTTCAGTGGTTTAAATCTTATTCTGAAAGTAACACCTACCTACTGGTTTTGTTTTGGGGATGTAAAATATCTAACTGGAAAATCTTCTTGTGTGAAATGTTTTCTATGGAAGAAATCTGGAGCCAGGATTAGTTTTAGTCGCAGCTCTTTCTCTTTTCTGTGAATTTTCATTCATTTTCACTGCAAAAACATGTAATCTAATTAAGTCCATTTTTCTTAAATTAAGTGCATTTTTTTCTTGAATTGAGCAGGTAAGTGTGACTTTTTGCCAACAGAGTAAGACAATTAACATTTGAAATAAGGAAAAACAACAGCAGCCTCCTATATCAAGTGCATAATATCTAATTATCTTATTCTTAGGCTAAACATACTCATTCCGTTTGCAGATAGTCTTATTAACCCTCTCAAATTAAGGGACAAGTCACTTATTTTAAGAATTTTTTTCTCATTTTAAGATTGTTTTTGCAGTGTTCCCCCAATTTACACTGGAAAAACGATCTAGAAATAAGTAAAAATTTCTTAGATTAAGTTTATTTACCTGTAATTAGAGTAGGTAAATGAGATAGTTTGCCATTGGAATTAGTATTTTTACTCTTAAAATAAGATAATTAGATACTATGCACTTGAAATAAGACAATGTAATTGTGTTTTCTTATTTTAAATGTAAATTGTCTTGTTCCATTGGCAAAATGTCTCTTTTATCTCTTCAATGCGAAAACAAATGCACTTATTTTAGGAAAAAAAAGTATTTTTTAGATTTCAACATTTTCCAGTGTAAAAGGACAATTCTTCCCTTTTTTTTCTTGTTTGTATTTTTTTTTTACACATGGCTTAAACGGCTCTAAATGTTTCCACACCGTCTGCTTCATTGTTCTGCAAATAACAAATGTGATCAAACGTTTCACTTGTATGTTTCTTCCTGTGTTTATCAGCAATGGCCCCACAGTGGGCTCACCCAGAGAAAATGGAGAAAAAGCTTCACGCTGTTCCGGCCAGTAAGACCGTGAAGTTTCGATGCCAGGCCAGCGGCAACCCAACTCCCACCCTGAAATGGTACAAGAACGGGAAGGAGTTCAAAAGAGACCATCGCATCGGAGGCTTCAAGGTAATAAATGTTTTGTATTTTAAGTTGCGGATCCTCTCGTCAGTTTTGCCGTTGCACCAGCCTCATAGTGAGGATGTGTTTGTAAATGTCCTCTCTACATTTGATCACCCCCCCACCCCCTGGAGTAAGAAACACTTTCTGGGAGTGAACAGAAGTTTCACCGTTGACCTGAGAGACAATGCTAACTGAAACCCAATGCCCCAAATAGGAACGCTGCGCCATAGTTATACCTCCAGGTGGGCAATCCTAGCTATATGTCTGAGTGAGGGGGGGGGGAGAAAAAAAGCCCTGGCTGTCCTCATTCCAGGTGTCAGTGATCGTCCTCTCTGTAATTACATCCATGCGGTAAATTTACCAGCGTACCTTCTGTATTTATATCCTGGGATGTGATTACTGTTGCCGTAGTCGGATACTACAGCACCTTAGATAACTTGGAGGGGTTAATAAAACAATTAATGCCAGTCACTGGGTTTACTTACCGGGTTCAGCACGTTTGATTTGTAGGCATGATCTGTTATTGATTTACTTCTTACTGGAAATTACGTCATAAACTTTAAGAGACCTTCTTATCTCATAATCTGCATTTGAGAACCGGAGAGACGCCTAATCTCATATCTTTTAGGCTTCTATCATTTAAACTTGTAGCTCAGGAAGGTTAAATTCACCCACTCAACAATATATACCACATCCAGAAATCTCTAGTTCTGTTTTCAGTTCATACTTTGAAGATTTAAGTAGCAAATTGTGCAGTCATTACAAAAAAAAAAATTGGCGGAAATAACATGGTAGCATGGAAATTTTGTTTTCCTGTAATTTACCACAGGGTTAGGCCCCATCCACACGAAGTCAAACCCTGGCCTAAACGCACAAATTTTTTACCAAACCAGCCTCTCATCCACACGAAGCCGGCGTTTCGGGGGTCTGTAAACGATCTTTTTTTTCTTCAGCCTTCTGAGTGGGAAGATTTTGAAACGCCGTTTTCGCGTTTCCATCTTTAAGCTCTAACCGCATTTTTTTTTTTACACGCATGCGTCATAGCGTCGCCTCTAAACACGCATGCGCGACACAGTATCACAACAACAATGGCGCCGTACTGTGTTGAATGGTTGCTGCTCATGCTACTCACCCTGCTGTCGGGCTTACAACAGAATCTTCTTCTTCTGGAATATCTCCAGGAAGAACAGAGCAATATCGACGACATAGTTCAGCACCTGAATTTGACTTAACCACGAAAATGGACCCGCAGGGCACACGTGTATAAATATTAGTGCGCATGCCCAACATTTCGTCGCTTATTTTTGCTTTGGCACCACAGCGCCACTTACAGGCCTGGCATACATTTTGCAGCGTTTTCATGCATTCGTGTGGACGATCACATTTATTTTACGTCTCCGTTTTTACGACAAACGTTCTGGAAAATATTAGCGTTTCGTGTTCGTTTTGACTTCGTGTGGACGGGGCCTTAATTTATAAACCGGATGGGAATGGAGCGACTCAAGCGATTGTTTACATCCTATTACTATGTAGCGGTGCGTTCAGGAGCAAATCGATGCGAAGGAGGCATTTCTAGCGACGCAATTAGATGAAAATTGGTGCTCTCCACTGGGCCTTTTGCTCTGCGCTCCTGCTGCTCCAGTCTGAGATCCACAGCACTTCCTCGCCTTACCTCTGCTGTCCAGGTCATCCTTCCCCAAAGCGCGATATCGATTTCAGTTCCTGGTCAGACAGAAGGACTGTAGTGACCTTAATGCTGCCGTAGCTCCTAAGCTCCCTGAACTGTGATCATCCTTCGCAGATCCATGGATTCGGGGACTCCGGTGTTCTGTCAGATCAGCATACCTATAGTCAATACGCATGCGCGAGGCGTCAGATTTGCGTTAATCCATTTAGTTGTGTACAAAAAATAGACTTTAAACTACCTCATCAGGCGTGTATCCCTTTAGTAATGTACAAAAAAAAAAAAATTTAAAGTCAAATTGCGTTACGCTTAAAAAAATAAAAATAAAAAAAAAAAACACCAAAAAGAAAGTTAAATAGTTTTTTGTACATGACTGTAGGAATGCACGTCCACTGAAGTAGTTTAAAGCTTATTTTTCGTACATAACAAAGGGGAAAAACAAAAGGGATACATTGGTTATCTATGAGTATGCTGGTCTGACCCGGTATGCTCATCTGACAGAACACCGGCGCTGATGTTTGGCTTTCAAATAAAAAAAAAAGTGCACCGTGCATCTCGATTAAAATCCCAGATTGGCAAGTAGATAGAAGCCCCCTCTACTCTATTTTGAAATGAGAGCGCTGTCGTTAGCGCTACAGAAGTCAAGCGGCTGTTTGCGGCTGACTGATAGGAGAAAATTGCTGTAATCATATAAATAAAAACATAGGCAGCTTCTACAGTAAATTTTTCAAGTTAGTTTTTTCCACCTTTAGTGGATGAAAATGTGCATTTCTGATGCATGAACCACCGTCATTTGACTCACAGAGGAGTAAAAAACAATCCATTGGACTTTGTTTCCAAGTTTGAAGACGTTTTGCTTCCCATCCAGGAAGCTTTTTCAATTCAAAATCTCAGAAATAGCGTTGAGTTTGAGGCTTTTTCAGATGCAGGTCCAGCAGATTCCAGAACAGCTTCTTCCCAACTGCCATTAGACTGATGAATGTTGAATTAAAAGGTTTATAACTTAAAAAAAAAAAAAAAAGCATTGAATGTTGGAAACTGTAAATCATATACCAGTCTTTAGTTTACATTTCATTACCATGTTTACATTTTATCACTGCTGCACTTTAGAAATGGAAATGTCTCGAGAGTTGTCAGAACCAAATTTCTTTTTGGTATACGCTCTGTGTGTACAAAATGACAATAAAGTCTAAGTCTAATGCTGCGTTCACACCGGACGCAGCAGAAGCAGCGGGTTTACATGCAAAGTCAATGGTTGACGCGCGTAAAGGCGCAGCAAAAAGTCCCGCAGCGCGTCGGTAGCGTTTAAGCATCTGACGCGTGCGACGCGCCGCAAACGCGCTGCTGCTCGAGATGGAAAAATTGTACTTTTGCTGCTCGACGCACGGCATCAACCAATGAGAGAAGCTGATCTGGGAGCTGGCAGCGAGACAGACACATCGCTGCTGATGCAGAGCGCTGTGATCGCTCCTCTGAAACAGTTTATTAACGCCTAAATTAACTTAAAATGCTGAAACCTGCTGACAAAACGTGTTCGCTTTTATTATCCTGGTGCCTGCAGTTTGGATTATTTAGATGAAAACGACCTTCCAGCCGCCGCGGCGAACCGCGAGGATGCGGCTTGGCCAGACGCTGCTGTTGAATGGGATTCCTACTGACAGTGCACCGCCGGTATGTGGGGGTCTGAGCGGCTCCGACAGAAATAATATTGGAAGGCAGGATGGTAATCTGGATGAACTGACTGCAATTATTAAGTTTTCAGGTGGATTTTATCACTTTAAAACATATTAAAACTACTTTATTCCCATTGATCACAGCAAATATAGCTGCAAGGCAAAAAAAGGATAGAGTAGCTCCGCCCAACGCGCATCAGACCCACTTTTCCACCACGCAGCTAGAGCAGCAAAGCTGCTTCAGCCGCGCGTCAGAACTAACTTGTACAAGCAGCAAAAAGGAAGCAGCAGACACGATTTTGCTGCGTCCGGTGTGAACGCAGCATAAAAGTAGACAGTCATAGAGTGGACCAAAACAAAGCCTTGTTTAGGCTTAGAAAACATGCAGGTTGAACCTGACGAACTGATCCGCCCTTTTGGAACGGCTCCTTTTATCAGGTTCCATTTGCATGTTTTCTTAGCCTAAACTAGGCTTTGTTTTTGTCGACTCTATAAAGCCTCAAACTCAATGCTACTTCTGACATTTTGAATTGGAAAAAGCTTCCTGGACGGGAAGCAAAACATCTTTAAACTTAGAAACAAATTCCAGTTTTTTTTTTTACTTTTTTGGAGTGACTATGACCCGGATGACTAGGAATCTTCACCAGCACACAGAGGAGTAAAAAAACTATCTGCTGCAGCTATTTACTATAGGAAAGCTGCATTGAGTAGTCACTCAAACACAGGTGTAGGACGCATGTTCATAGTGGAAGAAGCAATCTCCCCTCAGCTGCTCTTCCTGTCATGGTGTGGCCTAATTCAGTCTGAGGCCGTGCATCCCTGCCTTCCCAGCAATCTCCCATTTCCAGCTGGGACACATTTAGGAGTTTCCTCTTAGAAACCTCCTGCCCTAAACCCTTAAAGCAGCCCGTCTGCAGGCCGAACCATCTGGCTGCTCTTTTATTTTTCATCTTTTTCTTTAGGTCATGGTACAAAAGTCTGCATAAGCAGCTAAAGGGCGTCTGCCATTCATCCCCCCCCCTCCTCCCTCACTTTTATAGCAGGACTTCTATTGTTCATATCGTCCGTAAAGCAACGTGCAGAAGCGATGGAATAATTTAGTCCATATGTATATGAAGCCAAGCACAACACATCTGGCAGCAGGCAGCTGGACTCCTTCATCTCATTTCTTAGCTAAATGAGGCAGACTGTATGGCTCAGTCTGTGTATATGTATGTTTGATGTTGCCATTGCCTTAGAGGTCTGCTGGTTAATCACACACTACCGGTCTTGGCAGATTTATGGAAGAAAAATTATAACATGTCCCGGAAAAAGGAGCCAGACATCAGTTGGCGCTAATAAGACTGGTTGGGGCACACGCATATATATAAAAAAAAAAAAAACTTTTTAAAAATGTTCCTGTGTTTAATGAGTCGGATGATTTGTTGACATTTGCTTCTGTTCTGCAGAAAAAAAAATGGTGTGCTAAATGATTATTTTTCTTACAGGTCAGTTTCCTTGACAATTGTTTGTTTTTTTTCTCCCATTTCTTTGTTTGTTCAGCTGAGGGACCAAGTGTGGACCATCATCATGGAGTCTGTAGTTCCCTCCGATAAGGGAAACTACACCTGCGTGGTGGAAAACCAGTACGGCAGCATCAATCACACCTATCAGCTGGATGTAGTCGGTAATGTCTTAATCTTTGATTAACCACTTGTTGAAAATTCCTGCGGCTCCAGTCGTATAAATCGATCAGCCAATCAAATGTGCTCCCAGCAGCACAGGGCTGCAGTCGGTTTTGATGAACTACACCCGTGTTTACTTGTTGAGTGATGGATGTGGTCGGAGCAGAGAAGTGATTACTCCTTATGGGCCTGCTCTCTGACTTGCTCTTACACCATTCGCCTTATAAATCAGTCCCACTTCCTCCATCGCTGCCGTCCCCTGGGCTCCCTCCCCCTCCACTCCGGCTTAAGTAGAAGCTTAGAGCCTGATGAGCACTTGGATTGGTGCAGCATGGAGAAAGTACAGTCACAAGAGCTCACTAAGTACCAAAGTATGTCTCTGTCAGACAATCCTGCACAGCTGACATTCTTCCAGATTCTTCGTTGGTCTGTTACCTAAGCGTCATTTATTAAAGTAGATTCACAAGAGAGCTTCAATTCACGTCGATGTCCTAAGATGCTATCTCTGTACGCACCAAACAGCCGGAGACTGTGAGATTTCAATATTATAGAATAGTTCCATAAAAGTAAAAAAAAAAAAATATCCACTGGAATTGGTGTTCAAGATTTGAAGACGTTTCGCCACCTCTCCGGGAAGCTTTCTGGATTCAAATGTCTGGATCCGCAGTGAGTTTGAGTCTTATATACACAAGGCTTTGTATTGCTTGGAAACATGCAAATAGTAACTGATGAGTGGTTAGCCTGCAATCTTGAAAACAGAGTCCAGTGAATATTTTTTTTTTACTTTTATGGAATGACTATGACCTTGATGACTGAGAATCTTCATCAGCATTATAGAATAGTATTAATGTTTTGAGGTATTTTAATTTTATGCTATTTATTCTGGTTTAAGACAAAGTAGAGCATGCAATGCAGTACCCAAAGTTTAAAATGATGTACTTTCATAAGTACTTCACTATATTTTCACTATGTATGACTTCAGCTTCATAAAAAACTTTTCTCTGAAGAAATGTTGTAGCTTAAAAAAAGTGTTTTATTACCAGTAAAATGCATATCACAGAGTTTGGCACATTTGGACACATATTTGGCCCAATGTTCATCAAAAAGACCTGTAACATTTACAAGCATTGTTCTATTGAATTAAACATTTGCAAGCATGGTATAAACTACAGGAGCAACACTTTTTTTCTGTGATGTATAACATTTATTATATACATGTTGAAGTGTGTAACAGCCTTTTCCAGTTTTCTATCTTAGAGTGATTTTTATTTAGGCTTGTTTGCTGATCTCTCAGCCATGTGTCCTCCTACATGTACATGTGTGCCTCAGACTAAGATTTGTTTGCCCTTCTGCCGTGTTGCAGAGCGCTCCCCACACAGGCCGATCCTGCAGGCTGGTCTGCCGGCCAATCGTACCGTAGTGGTGGGCAGCGACGTGGAGTTTGAATGCAAAGTGTTCAGCGACCCACAGCCTCACATTCAGTGGCTGAAACACATTATGATCAATGGAAGCCGCATCGGACCCGATGGTGTTCCCTATGTCCGCATCCTGAAGGTAGGACGGGGACATATTTCATAATGCTTTTTTTATATGAGAATTTCTATGTGTGCAAAATTGTATTCCTTGTTTACTAAATTGATATTGAGACTCTAGAGATCGACTGATACAGTTTTTGGAAAATAGTCTAACTGATCCCAGATATGAGCTGCCAATTGTTTTTTCTTTGGGTGCCAATTTTTGAAGTCTCAGATTAAACAAAGAATTTTTTATTAAAAAGTCAGACAAAACATTAGTGCTGGATAGCAGATGGAGGGATCAACACTGTGGGGAAAGGAAAAAAAGGCTGATATCGGCCAAAAATGCAGTCATGGCGGATAGATGCACTTTTTTTTAAAACTAGAGTATTAAAGTATGGATGGAGATGCAAAACATTTCAAACTTCATCCGTTAAACATTGATTTTTAATGCCCCTGTTTAATGACTTAAAAGATATCTGCCATGTATTTTCTAATGGAAATATTTCTATTTTAAAATGTAAAAGGTGTTTTTTTTTTTTTTTTTATGGAATGAAAATTCTAGAAAATGTGTTAAAAGTAAAGAACTTAAGCTTTTATTGATATGTTTAAGGGCTGGAACCTTCTGACTTAACCCAGACCAGAGGTGGGTAGTAACTTGTTAATGTAACAACTTAATGACTTAAATCAGCTTTTAAGAATAGTGTTACTGCACCTTCCTTTTTTTCCCCTTTTACTTGAGTAATGTCTTTATATAAGGTTTCTCTACTCTTGAGTAAAACGTTTGGCTGATCTATCCGCCATGACTAATTTCATTAAATAGCAAACAAGTTTGAAGGAAAAGTGCTCGAAATAAAAACTGTTAACATTTGCGTTAAAACACGAAAGCTTTATATCTGAACCTACTGTGACATTTATTCGGAGGTCAAGCTAAGCAGTAGGGGTGTAAATCCTGACCCAACGATTCGATTACTTTCTATGCTCAATAATACACCACGATGTGATTCGATTAGATTATTGGTTCTCTTTTTTTTTTTTTTTTGCACCTTACAGGCTAGACAATGTTTCAAATTTGAAATAAATCAAAAGCAGTAATATCGTTATGCATTTTTTTTTTTAGAAACAACAGCAAATAACAGAAGTAGAAAAGTTTAACTCCACCTATTCCTATGTCATTCACTGAAAAATAATAATACCCCTGCGCTATAGATTCTGAAAGGCCTTTCATCAGAAAATACTGCACAAAATCAGTGCAATGAGTGCAATGCAATACCTCGGCTAAAGACGTCGCCGCCCCCTCCCCTCCACAGACGCTCCATTGCTCCTCTCCCAAATTGTAGCTGACCGCAAACAGAAGGCCGGCTTGTTTTGTTTTTATGACCGAAATTGCGGAAAACAACTCATGAAGTTGGACCCGCTAGAAGAGCGACGTGCGCGAGAACGCTGGGACCCTTTTTCCACCTGGATCTCCGCTCTTTTTGGCCCTCATGTCCCTCCGTCGTAGGACTAAACCCGCCCCCACTTCCTCTCCGTATCTAGACCCACAGCATGTATCACAGACCACGCTTCATTATTGAGCATAAATCAAAAATGTCTGTGTGAAGCTTACTGCAACACACTGCTATAAGAGCAAAACCAGGAAGCGTGGTAGGAGGGCACAATAGCTTTAACGCCACCGCAGCACGGGAGGGAGAATTACGCCCAGAGCAAATGGATAAAAATAGACCGGGAAAAAAAAAACATGAATCGATTCTCTTGCGGACGTGTCGACGCATCGGATCGTCGGCTTTTGGATCGATGCATCGATACAAAACTATTATTATTTACACCCCTACTAAGCAGTAAGTAAGCAGTAAATATTGGAGGTAATTCACACCATCTATAGATTTGATTCAATGCGTTTTTTCAGCAGCATTATTGTTTTATTTTGTTATAGTCTTTAACATACAATCATTTCATTATATCATTTAAATAGTAAATCAGATACTATGATTAGTTTCTCACTACTTGTGTAGCCTTTTTTCCAAACACTTTCTATTAAGTGAAATGATGTAATGTTACATAGTTGAGCACAATGTTTGGTTTCTCTACCCACCTCTGACTCAGAACTTCCAGTAAAATCTGTATTTTTGTAGTTGTTGACGGTTTGTTTCTGAATTATTCTGTTTTTCTGCTTTTAGTTTTGTATATAGTTTTGATTTTTTTTTTCTTCCTCTGCTGCACCTGACTTGTTTTTATTTCTAGCATTCGGGGGTCAATAGCTCGGACGCTCAGGTGCTCACCCTCTACAATGTGACTGAGGAGGAGAGCGGAGAGTATATATGTAAAGTGTCCAATTATATAGGAGAGGCCAATCAGTCGGCCTGGCTGACTGTCATCAAATATGACCCTGCAGGTAACCACCAGCACCACGCAGTAGTGCGGGGGACAACGGGCGGGAGGCGTTTCTAGGACCACCTGGAAAACAAAACCAAAAAAGAAAAAAAAGCTTTAAACCTGAAACAAGCTCAGCTGTTTCTCTCCTCTCTCCATCCGTTCTCCCCTCCCCGTCTCCTCAGTGATCCTGACTGTAAATGACGCTATGGAAAATTCCCAGCAGAACAGTTGAAAGTGTTTAGTCTCAGGTTGATGTTGAACCCGCTCTCATTCCTGCCCCATGCCTGCGCTGTGCCCTCCTAATAAGGGGCTCTCCTGCCTTCTCCGTTTATTCCTGCTTCCTTGCCCTTTAAAGCCATCTTCCCATGACCCCCCCCCCTCCTGTTTATCCCCCTGTTTATCATCCCTCTGTGTTTCTGCTCCCCTTGTTTGTATGTGTCTGCTGTCTTTTGTCAGAGTTTTGGTCCCAAGTGTGTCCTGTTCTGCTGCGGAATCCTCCATGCCCATCTCTTGCATGCAGAGATGAGACTGAGGTATTTTAAGTGGTGATGGTTTGGGCCCAGAGTGAGGTTCAGCAGTGCAGGTTCAGTCTAACAATCTTTTTCCACTAACAGATACTGGAGGGCTCTTCCTGACGGAGCCCCCTGTTGGGTCTCTGGGTGTTTACCTTTTTAGATAGATGGTCCTTGTGTTTACCAGGAGGAGAACGCTCCTCTGTCCTCTTCTCCTCCAGAATCCTAAACTCATGGTCCCCCTGTTTCCCTCTCGGGCCTTTTGGGTCTACTTCCTTTATTTTCTAGACTGCTGGCGTTAACACCACGGACAAGGAAATGGAAATCCTTCATCTGAGAAATGTCTCTTTTGATGACGCTGGGGAGTATACGTGCTTGGCGGGCAATTCTATCGGGTACTCTCATACCTCCGCATGGTTGACAGTCTTGGAAGGTATCAGTGGTTCTGTCTCTCTTTCTTTTATTGTTTACCTTTTTTTTTCTTCCATGGCTGTCCTTCACATTTGCTTGAACCGCATCATGTCTGACTGCGGTTCTAAAGGAAAAATGTTAGAGGAAGCCTGTGCCTCCCTTTGAGCTCAGCATGACTCCAGCTCCATCTTAGCCCTTAAGATGAGGCGGAGAACAAGAGCCATGCTCTGCTTTTTTACTTCTCTTTGGGAAATCTGCAAATGCCAAACAGCCCAGGACACTTTTTAAAGGCTAAAATCTCACTTAGAATTCCCTTTAGTAGTTTATTGGAGGATTGTTTGGCGGCTGTGCTCAGATTTCACCTGGCTATCTCTTCCTCTCTGCTGCTTAACGGGTGTTTGCATTCAAATTGGTATCAGGGTGATTTTCTCTGACACAGTGCTTCAAATGACATGTATTGCTGATGTCATTTCATGCTGTGAGCACAGTGGCTGGCTTTGATAATTGGCTGGCTGTAAAGGATGTGTCTCATTCCTGGGGATGTTGGAATGGGCATTTCTCCAATTATCAAGCAGCTTGTCAGTCAGCCTTTTCACATTGGTGAAACTTGTGTTGCTGGGGTTGTTTTGGGGGGTGTAATGGTGCACTTCAGTCAGAATATTTGGTTTGGGACACACTGGTCATCATTTTATTGGAGTCTTTTCAGAATTTTGAGGTCTTTTTTTATGTAGAGATATAATAGAACTCTAGAGACATCACACTAACCTAATATTTAAAAACTTTCTTAATTTCAGATTCAATTCATCTTATTGAGATGAAAAATACAGATACACTTAAAGTATTGAATAATTAATCCTGTTTCAAAAGTAATTTATTTTAAGCCTTCATCTTTGCATTATAACCAAGTTATTTGAAAGCATCTCCCTAGTTAGACAGATAATTTAAACGGTTTTGAATTTTATTTCCTTAAATTTTTATTATTTTTTTTTTTTATATCTGAAATACTTGAAAATCTAAATTTCAAGCCAATAGTGTTATTGGAATCCAGGACAAGACATTATTACCTTTGTAACATTAAAAAATATGGATATGTTGATGGCAATAATTAATGTCAATGTAATAACAGGAAACACCAACTTGCCCGAATATATTGAGAAAAATAACAAAAGTGCTTTTATAAGAAATTCATGAAAAGATTTTGAGTTTTAAGATTTAATCTTTTATTTTTTATTTTTATCTCTGTTTAGGTGTACTTCTAGGCCGCACTTGCCTTGTCGTTGAAAGTCAAACGATGACGCAGTTCAGCATGAAGCATTACCTGTTGATCCAGGAATAGGGACACATTCTTAAACAATTTGTTCTATTTATTTACCAAAAAAAGTTTGGGTTGAGTTTTTGATCAGATCATAAATAATTGTTTTTGAATAGAATAGATAGATAGATAGATAAACTTTATTCCGGACTCATGGTCCAATAAATACATACATAAAAATAAAATAAAAATAGTTAATGATAAAAACACAATACAAGTACCATTATCGACTAAATAGGATCTTTAAGAAGACAGGAATACCAGTGTCTCCACAGCTTAGACTGATATTGGATTGCACTACGTGTTGTATCAGTAAATGACAAAATAATATCATTTTCAGATGCATTTAACCTACAAATAAACTTATACATTAACTTTCGTAAAACAGCTTGTAGGGTATTGACTCTTGCTGTGACAAACATCTCACTTGCACTGGACCATCTTGGACGTTTCAAAAGTACCCGCATAGCATCATTATAGGCCACTTGCAGCCTTTGCAAGTTCTATTCTCTTTGAGAATAGAATAGAAAATCCCTTTATTGTCCCAAAATGGGGAAATTCTGGTGTTTTTATATTGACTCAATACGTTTCCCTGATGTTGATCTGCAACATAAAAAGTACAACCTTTATATTTCCAGCCCACATGAGGGAGTTACTAATTTCCCAAACTTCATAAGGACAAAATAAAATATTGCTTAGGATTATTTTGTTAATATAATTACTTCGCTACAATAGTTTAGGGTCTTAAACATCTCGACACTTTAATCAGGCTTTAGTGCGGCTAGCCTGTCATCCATGTCTGTGCCTGACGGCAAGATTTATCTACAAAGTTTAGTCCCTAAACAAGATGAAAAAACGTATTTCCTTAAACTTATTAGCCCCTTTCTTTCCTAATTAATAATGTTCTTATCGTTTTAATATAGTAAAACAATTTTATTTACATTTATTGACATGGTTGTCAATAAAGTGTATGAGTGGGTGTTTGAATTTGTAAATGTAGGTCAATCAACATGACATTTTCCAATAAACTTGTTGTCAGAGAACACAACCATGATGTATCAAGTGTTTTTATTTGTCAGAAGACAAGTTTAGAAGTTAAAAGTGTGCAAAACTAGAAGTATTAATCTCAAATTCACGAGTATAGCTCAACAACCCCGAATGCAGCTGTTACACTCCTAACCTGTTGGTGGCAGTAATGCACCTGATGGTTGTTTGCATACTGCCCTTAAATGAGAAAAGAAAGACACAACCATCATTAATATAAAAATGTACAAGCCTTGAGGACAAGGCCGTTGCTCAATATGTGAACTAGTGCGTTCTCGTGTGCTCGTGTCCTCAGCCTCAGCCCTAGTAAGGCAAGGCAAGGCAAGGCAAATTTATTTGTATAGCACAATTCAGTACAAAGACAATGCAAAGTGCTTTACATGATTAAAATACAGGAAAATAAAACGGAATCAAAGCAAGTAGGAAAAAATAAAAAAATAAATAAAATTAAATAAAAAATGCAGAAACAAAGTACTGTTCCAATTCACAAGAACAGCAGACCAGGAACAGACAAAGTGACAGGACGTTGTTTTCGCCACTCCCTATTTACCCAGCATGCATCAGATCAGACTGGTCCGTTCTTGAGATTGACAGCTGTCCCAGCATGCGCTTCAGCAGCATCTTTCAACGGAGCGCTCACAGAGCTCAGAGAATTGAGTTAAAAGTTCTCTTTTCTGTTGCTGTTGTTCAATAAAAGTATGTTTTGATATAATTTGTGGCGATAACATTATGCTTTTGAGCTTCACCATATGGTCCTTTTACCGATTTTAATGCGTAATGAAAATGATAATTCCAAAGTTGAGAGGACCGCAGCAACCAGCAGACCTCCGAGGCTAACCGCAGCCCGTCTGCAGCAGCCCTCTATCAGCATAGCCGTGTGGGAAGTACTGCTGGCTGAAATGGCGAGTTTTTTTGTTTTATTTGGAAAAATGTTCAATTAATTTGTGTTTATCTGACTGTGTTACTTATTATTCCCCTATTAAATGGAAAAAAGTAAGAATTTATTATCTAGAGACTATTAATAACATAAGGTGAAATGCAGCTACAGTCGAGCCGAGCGTGTGGCGACGTCACGAGTACGATTCTGCTCCAATTGACCCATATTTATGCTGCGTGCTCCCGTTCTCCCCAAGTCCATACTTTCCTGTGTTCTTCATACTCGCGTTCTTGTGAATTGAGAAACGGCCCGAGATTTAAGCTAAGATCTAAAATGGGATGATTTTTTTTTTTTTATCTTCCTTTTCTTCATTTTTACTGTCACTTGGCGAAATCCCTTCCCCCAAGTGACTTTTTGCCGCCACCAACGGGTAAGGAGTGTAACTGCTTCATCAGAGTTGCTAGATTCTCCTACTTTGACATATTTGATTTTTAATCGAAGTCTCGAAAAGAGATAACTTATATTCTAAAACCCAAAAACTTTATTTCTCACAATAAAGCAACCAATTTCACATGTATGTGTGATTTTAAACACAAGGGGGGAAAAAACAAATCTTACTCATGTTTATTGACTTGCATTTCGATGTATGTTTTTACCGACTGTTATCTTACCACATAATTTTATGAGAGATGTCCATCAGCACATTAAAGCATGAGCAAACACTGTATCCTAATGCAGAAGCTTAACACTCAGACTAGTGTTAAGACTCAGATTAGATATTTATTTCTCCATTTTATAAAAAGTGCAATCCATTACACCCCTTCTACTGGTCTGAATAAATGTCGGTGCTTTACTTTTATCAAGTGGGAGGAAAAAAACAAGTTCTGAATTCAAAGGTTTTTATTGTCTAAGTATTATTTGTTTTATAAATCTCAAACAATTTCCATGAAGAGCTTTGATTTACCAGAACCAGCACACAACCTGTTTACGTCAGCAGTTACAAAGCATGACAATCAATTGGATGATGAATTCAAACTGAGCATATACCCTTTTATAAAGCCATCTGAGTACTATGTTTACATGTTTGTTAAAATCTCTGCTTTATTGTGTCATATAATGCTGTTTAATGCAATGATTGTGTGTGAAAGTCAGATCCTTGTGATGACCTCAAAAAATCAAGAGCAAATTGAACATCAGATTAACTGTTCTATTGTTTTTGTGTGATAAACCATTACAAAGTACATACTGGTTCAGAAGTGGAAGAAAATTACGTATTCTTTTATTTCTGAGAGGAAAATTTGTTTTGTGCATTTAAATTCAGCCACATTTTGCTTTACCTCTAATATAATTATTTCTGTCTGTCTGTGTAATTTAATCCCTGTATTATTATGGTTTAGAATATAGATGAAACAAATCCCATCGTAAGGGACCCGTCAGAAACTATGTGGAGTCAAGTCTCTTTCAGTGTTGTCGCTAGTGAAGAACACATTTTATAAATGGAAACCTATAAAAAAGAAAAAAAAAAGATAAATTACAAAAAAAATTAAATCCAGAAACACTTATAATTTTAGGGCACTCAGTGAAATACTTTGAAAATCTAAATTTCAAGCCAATAGTGTTATTGGAATCCAGGAGAAGACCTTATTACCTTTGTAAAATAAAAAAATATGGATAATTTGATGGCAAAAACTAACGCCAATGTAATAACAGGAAACGCCAACCTGCCGAATATATTAAGAAAGAAAACAAAAGTGCTTCTATAAGAATTTAATGAAAATCATTCTGAGAGTGAAAAGAAACAAATTTTTTTTGGTACAACATAACCTTAGAGGCATTAATGCTGATAGTGGTTCTGACATTTTTTAGTTTATAACCCTAAATATAAATGTTAACTAGGGTTATTAACTTTTGAAGTTTACTTCTTAACTTTTCAATTTGCTTTTTACCTTTTTTCTTTACTTTTTTTTTTTCAACTTAATTTCCAGTAGGTAATATTTCCTTCAAGGTCTCATCTAATTGGTCAGATGCCAAAACAAGATTTACAGCTATGCAGCAGGATCTTTGCTGAATGGCTGGATATAGATCTTGTTCTTCTAGATCTCACTGAGGGATGGGTCGGACTCCATTTGTAAGGGGTATGCAAGTGATCAAAAATGGTGACTTGCCTTATAAAGGGTTAACAAAAAGGTTTTGAGAATAACTTAACCGTTTTCTCAGATTTGTATTTTATTTCCTTTTTTATAGTTTTATATTTTCACTTTTTTTTTGTTTTACAGATTTTATTGTTTTTACACACATTTTTTTTTATTTAGTTTTATTAATTGCATTCTTTTCAAATTTTGATTGAAAGCTAATATTTTTGAGTCTCGCTCAGAAAGTCTTGCTCTTGGTGCACACATTGATCAATATGATGCTGTTGCTGGTTTCCATGCATGCAATGCCAAACCCAGAAGGGAAAAAAAATTTGATCTGTGAAATGCTCAAAAAAATCCAGATGGTAAAACTTCTGAAAAACAGAAATGAAAAAAGCTGAAAAGTAGTTTAAAAAATGTAAAGACTTTAAAAAGATAACTGATTAAAAAAATAAATGAAATAAAATCTTTTTTTTTTTTACTTAAAAAAATCATTTCTGATTGTTTTTGTTTCAAATTTCAATTCACAGAATGTATTCTCTGCTTGCAACTAACAAAAAGTGACCAATTTTGTTGTGAAAACATCTATAAGAGATGAGAGAAACTGGAGGTTCTGCAGGGAGCCATGGCTCAGTAGGACAACTATAAGCTTAGCAGCTTATATGTCCGACCTTTTCAGATTTTTAACTTTTAAAAGTTTTCTTTTGAAGCACTTGCCTATTTTTCTTCCCTCCGTTACCAATATAAATGCAACTTTGTGTTGCCTCAAGTTGCCCAATAATGCATTCAGTTTTGTGGCTCTAACTTCAGAATGTCTGACAGAAGGAATGAAGGAAAGAATATTTTTGCAGAGGGCTGAAACTGCGCCACCAGAGACTAGGTTTAAATTGCTCAACTATGATCAGTGATTCTGTGGTTGATTTCTCTGTAGCTAAAGGACCACAAAAAAACAATTCTCAAACTAAATATTGGATTATATTGGGGCTGAAAAGATTAATCAGATTAATTGTGATGAATGGATTGTTTAACTGCAGTATATAGACTCTAAAACTTCTCTTTAGCTGACAGTGACATCATTTCATCTGTCGATATGCCCTATGGAACTCCTCAAATGGAAAAGTTTGTTTCACCTGGTTTAATTCCATTAAAGAATCTTTTGCTATTCGATTATTAATCGAAAGAATAAAAGATTAGCAATCAGAGAATTTTTATTCGAAGTACATACAATTTAAAGCAACTGAATTCAGTTTGGAACTGTTTAATTTGCTTTCAGTTTAGTGATATTAACATTTTAAACCAGTGCATTTAATGTCAAATTACTGAATGCAAATTCAGTTTCTGATGGCACAAGTTTCTGTCCATACGCTGCATAAACCTGATCAAATTCAATTCAATTCTACTTGTTCTGATTCTGGACTAAATTTACTGAATTGAGGGTCCATGTGGCATTTATTGGGTTCCTGCCCTATTCAGGTCAAAGGGTCTGACTTTTACACATTGGAACTTTTTTAAATTCATGTGTAAGAGCATTTCTTCTGCCTTGCTTTGAGCCTGATGTTTTCCTGACATGAAGCTTTAGTTCATTCATAACGGCCTACCTTCCTCCTCCGCCTCCTGCTCCACATCTAGCTATCACCCCGTACCCCCCAGCCAGCAGCACCTACCTGGAGGTGGTCATCTACTGCGTTGGCTTCTTTCTGATCGCCTTCATGATCACCATCGTAATAATCCTCAAAATCCGAGTCACCTCAAAGAAGAGCGACTTCAACGGCCAGCTGGCTGTCCACAAGCTGGCCAAAAGCATCCCGCTGCGCAGACAGGTAACAGAAAGTAGATAGGGGGTTTGCATCTTTTATACCCTTTCACCTTTTCGTCTGTTAGATGCTTGTTTTATCTTATAAACTCCAAAATGTACAGCATCTGTGGCTGCTTGAGATAAAGTGATTAATCTGTTGATAGGAATGCCAACTGACCAAGCCTTTAGGCTCTTTCTATTCAGTGACGGTTTTACTCCAGGTATGTATGGGAATATGAACTCCAACTCTCGCCCTAGTTACACTAGCCCTCTGAAACCCATCCGTGCAGAGTTCAGACCGAGCTTGCATCAGTTAACCCTACCGAGCCTGATTCTTACGACCACTTATAAATCATGCTAGCACGGTTCCTCACCTCCTATCGACGGTCCGTGATACTACAGCTCTTAAGGGCGGGAATTACACTTTAAAAATGGCGGCCACTTTATTGTATCTGTTACACTATATCCGTTGGTTGTGCTGTTCTTTTTACATCTCTTTGCAGGTGATGAAGCAGACTGAAGACGTTTTGTCGTTTTCTTGTTTCTACTTACATTGCAGTGTCCATATAATCTGTAATACTCCCTGCATGAATTATAATAAAGCTATTTATATGCATAAATCAAGCAGAGCACTATGGCGATAGCTGTACTGCTCCACTTGTGAAAGTACAATCTGTTGGGCCCTCTTTTTGGCATTAATGCAATTGTTATTGTCATATTGCCATACATGACACTGTTTAAAAAAAAAAAAAAAAAATGGTGGCGCCCATAACCTTCAGGAACCTGGATAGCATCCTCCGCCAAAATTTCAACCTTTTGGCGGAGCCTCGGTTTTGTCATCATCCCGGGTCGCGCCACGCTCTTTTGATGCCATTTAAAGGCAAACTATGCAACATTTTTCAGTTAATTAATGTGTTCCATAACGTTTTGGATGATTAAATGAGTCATTTCAGGTCGAACAAAGGTTTTCTCGGCCGCCTTGGTGGTCTGTAGGGGAAATACCGTACTTCAATTGCAGGAGCCCTCGGCCCGCACCCACAGGCTCAGAAGTCTCGCGCATCGCGAGAGTGGGTCTTGCTATACGGCGAGAACTGCTACACACCCCCAGTGAAATGCATGCTCGTTGCTAGCGCAGTGGCGATATTTGTGCAGTTAACATGGCGGAACCAGGGAGAAAACAGCGAAAGCCCATGTCAGAGCAGGCAAGAAAGAGGAAAAGTGCTCTCTACCGCAGTAGTCGTTGCGTTCGCCTGTCTGCTAAGCTCAAAACAACCGCGCCTGGCCTGATGGAGAAACCAGGAGAACAGCTGAGCATATTTACGACAGTGCACTTTTACTTTCGCCCTCAGGGGGGAGCCTCACTGGAAAATCAACACCGGTTGCATAGTATACCTTTAATGTTATTAGACTGGGAGGAAGTTCTTGTTGTGAACAGGTGGAGAGATCTGTGAATTGCAAAGCTAGGCTTGCTGGAAAACCTGCAAAATCAGTCAGCTTACTGTAAATAGATGATGACGCGGTCTGCTCACGCACTCTTTGTTTATCAGAGAATCGAGGCACAGATGAACCGTGCCGAGCCCTACTGTTGAACTAGTACTAGATTTAGCTCAGTTCTGTTCTGTCTGGCACGGTCCAGTTCAGTTGCGTTCCATTTAGCACAGTTTCAAAAGGCTACTGTAAATTAAACTTCTGATTCCATGGGAAGTTTTATTTTTAAATTCTTTATTTTGTCATTCAGGCAGCAAAATAAAATAAACAAAATGAAGAGGTGAAATGAAAACAGTTGGGGTGACGATTTTTCATTCACTTCAGTCATGAAGGTTCTCAAGTAGTGGCCATTTTCACCAGTTCAGATCAAAGATCCCCTTTAAGTCGAAGAAAGAAAGTCGCTCTCTCCGTTTCATTATTCTTTATAAGTCTACTCCTTGTGATTTCTTCATAGCAACCTTCTTGAAGAAGTATCAGTCTTCTTTTGTAATACCTGTATGATTAGCTGGAGCCGGTAGAGAGTAGTGTTTTGTACATCAGTTTCCAATTAGTCTCTGAAATTTAGTTCTGCATTTCCTTTCTCTATTTGACTTTTAAGTGAAACACATTGCACAAATGAAAATGAGTAAGAATTTCTTAAAATAACTGTATTTACCCTTAATTTGAGTAGGAAACCATTATCTGCCAATTGAGTGAGCAGTTTTACCCTTAAAATAAGATAATTAGATATTATGCAATTGAAATAAGAGACTACAGTTGTTGTTTTTTTTCTTATTTTGAATGTAAATGATCTTATTCTATTGGCAAAATATCTCATTTATCTCCTCAGTAAAAAAAAAAATTACTTATTTAAAAAAAAAAATTACTTAGACTTAAATTTTTTTGCAGTGTGCATTGTTCCTGTTGCATTTGGAAACATTGCTATAGTTTATATACTGATCTAGAAGGCTTTTGGTTAAGTGAGTTGGATTATAGTTAGCTGGTAAGTTTTGTTTAAATTACACAGGAAAATGTTTAGCTTCCCTCCGGCCTCATTAACACTCTGATATTGTTTATTTCACTTTGAGAGGAGTAATGTTCCCCTTTTTTCCTTTGTACCTCAGGTTTCTGTGGATTCAAGCTCCTCCAACCACTCTGGAGTGATGCTGGTTCGTCCTTCCCGCCTCTCCTCTAGTGGCACTCCGATGCTGTCGGGAGTATCTGAGTGTGAACTCCCACAGGATCCCCGCTGGGAGATCTTCAGAGACAAGTAGGTCTTCATAAAAAGCTTGGAGCTAATCGGTGGTGGCTCCTGCTTTTCTATTTGGGGCTCAGCATAGATGCCGGTGCATGTTTTTGATTGGGATTAAATCTGCTGTCTGACATGCTGAACTGGAGACAGCTGTACTCTCCGATGCATGGACGGATATCGATTCATCTAGTGGTTAATTTTTTAGACTAATCTAAGATGTTGTTTATTATTCTTAAATAAACAAACTTTTCAGAATCAGATTTATCGCCAAGTAGGTTACAAGGAATTTGACTTGGTGTTGATGGTGCAGACAAATTATATATTTGCACAATAAAGACTCCAATCGGAATGCAGTGGGAACATCAGAGCTGGGTCGACCCGCTAATTTAGGTGGAACCATTCAGCAAAACGTACCGACGTCAACACACCGTGTCTCATCTAACAAACCGAAACATCTCCGTTTTAATTGGCTAAGCATGGCATACACTGGTAAGAGGGATTTGGACGGATAAAGGGAGAAAAACAATAATGCACACTGAATACGCCCTGGCTTCCTTGCATGTTGCTATCCATTGTTTGCTTTCCTGTTGCACGGGTGACATCAGCAATGCTAAAGTCCAATTTATATATATGACGCATAGCCACTGCATCCGTCGTTGCACACCTTAAAAAAAATCCTGACTATGCGTTGGACGGTCGCAAACCCGCGCAGACCTCAAGCAGAAACGCAGACAAAAAAGCAGCTGTGATTTGGTCCTTGTTACGCCTTTCCGACTGTCTGTGTGGTCGTCCTTCTCGTTTCGGTGCCGTGGATGCGCCATTTTTAAAAACCGAGGAACAACTACAATGTACAACTACGACGAAAGGTTAATCGGTCTTTTTTGCCAACTCCATTAGCAGAGCCTAGATCGATGTCTAGCAACTCTAGATCCGCCAAAAATCCGCCAAAGTTCTCGCGAGTTCTCGAATGGGCTTCCCCTTATGTCCCTAGAAATTCCAGACCGACGGTGCAGAAGCATACCAGCAAAACTGGTTCGCGACCAGACCGATGCGACATTTGATGTGTGCGGTAACAGAAGTATAATCTGCCCTTAACACATCAGACACGCAGTGGTGAGGGGACAGAAGCCATCTTTTTTCGGTCAACTGGAAGGGATTGTTAGCAGGTTGAACTGTTTTAAAAAAAAACTACGTTAACCAGCTAATTTCAGTGGGAAAGAGGCCTAATGTGAGAGCTACTTTATATCTGCTCACACCGTGGTATATTACCACCTCTTTTGTCCTCCTTATAAAAACTTACCTTGGAAGAAAAGTTTAGCCAAAAATTTTTTTGGAATGATTTGCCATTTGGATCCATTTCATATAAGAAAATTCCTGCAGCATTAACATACCTCATCAGATTAATTTAAAATTGTACACATGTGAATAAAAAGAAAAGAAATGTGCATGTTATGATCTATACCTCACTAGCGGCTTCTAGCAGTCGGAATAGTTATTTTTTTTCCAGGAGGAAGAAGAAAAAACGCATTTCTAAACCTGTTTAAACAGCTGCGGTTTAGGTTTTGTAAGTTCTGCACTTTAAAATGCTTCCACTTGTTAACATTTGAGCTGCATGATGTACTTTTAATAGGCGAGGCCATTCGGGTTTGACCAACTATTGCGCACAAGCTAAAATGAGGCGAGTGTTTAGTGGTTAGTAGATGTTTGTTTTAACAAAGTTTGATTCTGGTGAAGGTAAAATCGACGATAGAGGCGTTCTGTATGGAGCACATTTACTGACAAATTAGATTTTTTTTAAATCTTAAATGGAAAATGTTTGTTTTTTTACTTTTGAGTTAAATTATTGCTTTCAGTGGGTTATTCTTTTATGAAGTAGTCCAGTTCCATTTGAAATTACTATTTTATTTATATATGTATGTGGTTACCATGTTTTTTTACAAATAACTGGAGGTTTTTTTATAGTTCGTTTTTTTTTTTTATTATTACAAAGGGCGTCTTTGCTTTATGCCGTTATATGAGGTTTGTTTATAGACATGCTTTCATGTTTTTCATTAAGAGTGCGCATTCGCTTTTTATTTTTCGGGGTATTAAAGTTGCTCAGTAAATCTCTGCTCTGTTCCTAACTGAATGCTTTTGCCGCATTGAAATTCCTCCACTGTCTCCTCTCCTTCTCACAGACTTGTTCTCGGTAAGCCGCTGGGCGAAGGCTGCTTCGGTCAAGTGATGATGGGGGAGGTTCTGGGTCTGGACAAAGAGAAACCGAATCGAGTGACCAAGGTCGCGGTGAAAATGTTGAAACGTAAGTGGTTTATTAGAGAAAGTTATCCGCTGTAAAGCTTTATGTTCACAGGATAGCAATGGGTACAAAGATGGACCCTCAGATAAAAAACAACAACTTTGAACTTGGTCAGCAGCTGGATCCCTGCCAGGGAGCAAATATGAGAGCAAAGTAAAAATTTATGAGAACCCTTTGCCATCCCATATAACACAGTGTTCATTAAACACCACTGAGTGAAGATGGAGGGAAAGTAGCATTTATTGTCTCGTGCTTTAAGTGCTTGTCCCCAGGGAGCGTTCAACAAACAACAAACAGAGCTCTGTTACTAAACAGCTGCAGCAGTGGTGTTTATATCTGGCTAGGTCATAACTGGGAAGCCTTTTTTTGCCTCTTCACCAGCAGAGAGACTACTAATTACCCTATTGTGACTTTATTTTTTTTGTCCCCTCTAGCTGACGCTACAGAGAAAGACCTGTCAGACCTGATCTCAGAGATGGAGATGATGAAGATCATTGGGAAGCACAAGAACATTATTAATCTGCTGGGAGCCTGCACACAGGATGGTAGGGAGAAGCCTGATACTGACCTGAACCAGGCCACACACACACACATTTGTCCCCCAGAGAAGGGTGCTGCTGTAATCCCCCCATGGGGGGGTGCAGGGTCTAGGAAAGCATGCATAAAGGGTTCTGACACCAGCTTCCGAGCTCACAGCTTGATTCAACTATGCATTCATTCATGCTTTAAAAACAAAAAGCAGAGCTAACCTCATGTAACCTTAAATGGACGCTGCTTTTATTTCTGTCAGAATATTTGGTTCTTACCTTTCCTCAGCAGCAGTGGATTAAGTTGTTCTACTCGCCTTTAGCTACTGATATGTTGAGCTAATTGATTGAAAGTGTTTGAGACCAATGTGTCACAAAGATTACCTGATTTTCCAGTTTATTTTGATGAACCGTAAGAAGTTAGCCCCATTCTTTTTCAATCTTGGCTTAAACTCGACCAAGAGTTTCAACCAAGTGACATTAAAACAAACTCCTCACTATGACGGAGTATCAAGGCCAGGCTAGAGGATTAAAAAAAAACTTTTCTAGAATAAATTCGTAATATTACGAGAAAATAGTCGTAACATTTCGAAAATAAATTCATCATACCACAACCCGTTTCAGAAAGAAAGCTCTGTGCTCAGACCAGCTCCACCAAACAGCTTACTCTGACTTACTGCCCAATTTGATGCTGGTGCTAAAAGACTTTACATGATGCTCTAAATTCCTCATTTTAGGGAAGAAAGTGCTTCTTTTAAGAGTTGGCATAAACTACAACTTATTTCTCATAATTTTAGGACTTTATTCTCTAAAATTGCGGCTTAATTCTTGTAATTTTATGATTTATTCTCATAATGTTACGGCTTTAGTCATAAAATTACGAGAATATTCTCATTGCGACTTTATTCTCGTAATTTTACGACTTTATTCTCGTAATGTTACAGCTTTTAGTCATGAAATTACGAGAATATTCTCATTGCGACTTTATTCTCGTAATTTTACGACTTTATTCTCCAAATAGAGGGAGAAAAAAATCTAGCATGACCCTAATGCTCCGTCGTACCTCACAAACGAGAAGTTGTTTTTAAAAACATGTGAAAATTGAACGCATTAGTAAAAAAAAATATTTTCATATGAAATGTATTGTCACGACATGATCAAATTGGAAAAAATCTAATAAGTGTTCATCAGAGAAAGTATCTTAAACAGGACGTTAACGAACCATGATAAAACTAAAATACCTCCATATTACTCCTGGTTTTTTTTGTGGCTGAAATCTTTCCGAACAGCCAGATTGATGAAGGAAAAGGGCAGCTGTGCTCTTTCAGCCACCTGACCGGTGACATGTAACAATATGTGGGGTGTTGTTACTCTATGTTCCCGCCAGCAGCTGCGTAACTTGGTTGCACAATAAAAAAAAAAAAAGGAATGTTTTTAAAAATGTTCATATGTCCAGTTGCGCAAATTGTAATTACAAAAATACATTCGCTAAATGGAAACACTCCAATTTCAGGGAAAATAACGCACATTTTTTGATTAAAACGTTTTTACGTTTCAAAGAAGTGTTTTTTATCGGTCTAGTTGAGATTGATATTTCGCAAAACTGCAATAAAAACACGAGTCATGTGATCCGCAGCTGGATATGACTGTCTTGTAAAGGCTGATTTATACTCAGAAACGAGGTCGTCTGATTGGTCAAATCTACATCCGCTCTACACTATGCATATTTCCTGTTTCGTTCCTTACCAGCTTGTTTTGTTTTATGACCGTCATCGCGGAAAACGACTCGTGAAGATGGACCGGCTAGAAGACAGAGTTGCACGGGAACGCTGGGACCCTTTTTCCACCTGAATTGTCGAAAAAATTTGCCCCCGCTTCCTCACCGCCTCGGCCGTATCTAGACCCACAGCTAGTTCCTGATTGTCCCTCTTGCGTTGTGGCGTGGAAGAACATAGCGCAGACCACGCTTCAATATTGGGCATAAATCAAAAAAATTTCTACAAGCTCACAGCGACACACTGCGGGAGTATAACCAGCCTTTAAGAAGAAGAAGAAGAAGAAAGGAAGTTGTTGGAGGATGATGGCGCCATCTAGCGTCCTGAATGAAATGTAGACATCTCTCATGTATTGGCGTCTGTTGGTCCCATGTTGTTTTCTGGTGAACCAACATATTAACGTACAATTTTAACTTTGTTTTTTAATTTAAATACCGTAATTGCTAATTTTAAGAAAGGGGACATTTCCCAGAATATCGACATGGTTTCGCACAAATTTGCAATGTGAATGGTTACTTTTTTTGTTTTGTTTTTTTTTAATGGAGGATGAATCAGAATCACTTTAAATATTCTTTCTTTATTTCTATTTTAGGTCCACTGTACGTCATCGTCGAATATGCATCCAAGGGGAACCTTAGGGAGTACCTGCGAGCCCGGCGCCCTCCAGGAATGGAGTACTGCTACAACCCGGACCAGGTTCCCCTGGAGACCATGTCCATCAAAGACCTGGTGTCCTGTGCTTACCAAGTTGCTAGAGGCATGGAGTATTTAGCATCCAAAAAGGTAACCGAGGAGCGCGGACGGTTCAGTTCCTTTAAGTACCTCCGGCGTTCACTCCAGAGTCTGACTAACGTGATGCTTTCAGTGCATCCACAGAGATCTGGCAGCTCGCAACGTGTTGGTGACCGAGGACAACGTGATGAAAATCGCAGACTTCGGCCTCGCTAGAGATATCCACCATATTGATTACTATAAGAAGACCACCAATGTGAGTTTTTATCAAGCTTTTGTTGTCCCAATGAAACTGGAATAGGAGGTTGCTATAGTGATAATGTTTTGGTGTCTCCCAGGGTCGTTTACCAGTGAAGTGGATGGCTCCTGAGGCCCTGTTTGACCGGATATACACACACCAAAGTGATGTGTGAGTATCTCCTCTCTCTTTGCTGATTCAGTCCATCTGGTTTGAAGGAGAGCCTTAATCATAGAGGAAAACCTTCTCCTCAGCTGGTCGTTTGGAGTTCTGCTGTGGGAGATCTTCACCCTGGGAGGCTCTCCATACCCTGGGGTTCCGGTGGAGGAGTTGTTCAAGCTGCTGAAGGAAGGTCACAGAATGGACAAGCCTTCAACATGCACTCATGAGCTGTAAGGGAACGGCATAAGGCCGCACCGTTTTATAGATTTCACTGTTTTCATCTGTTTCCAAACAGCTTTCTAGTAAATCACTCAGTTTCCTCTGTCCCTGCTGATTTAAAAACTAAAGCATTTTACTGCCACCACATTGCCTCAAAGGAGTTTTCCCATGAGACACATTTTATATTTTGGTTTATTAGACTAAATTATTTATGTATTTGACTAGAAGAGCTTCTTCCACACATTGGCTGCTTCCCTTTTCTCACAGAATGCCATGTCTGGGCATCGTGTAAACATTAGGGATGGAACCGTTCGAACCGTCCAAACCGTTCGTCTCTGTCGTCTGACTGTCTCGGTTCGGTTCGCGTGCTTCTTCTTTTTCTCATAGGCAAAGCATTTACACTCCAGAGCAGAAGAAGAACCACCAGTAGTAAACAAGAATAAGAAGCGAAGCAGATTAGCGGGGTGCAGCAGAAAAAAAACAGTTTTTGTGAAGAATTGTGTGGGTATGGCGAGTGGGAAAGAACAGGAGTTGGAAGACGTGCCAGCAGCACTTTATAGGTCTGCTGTAAGGGACCACTTTGCATTCATGCTGCGTTCACACCGGACGCGGCTGCAAGTTTACATGCAAACTCAATGGTTAACGCGCTCAAGATGTAAAAATTGAACTTTTGCTGCTTGACGCGCCGCATCAACCAATCAGAAATGCTGATCTGGGAGCTGGCAGGGAGAGAGACACATTGCTGATGATACAGAGCGCTGTGATCACTCCTCTGAAACAGTTTATTAAAGGAAAATTCCGGTTTTTAACACTTTTAGCCCCTTTTCTGTAGTGTCCAGGATGAAATCGAATGATTGACACCAAAATTTTGACGATTGGTCCTGTCTCTGCTATTTGGCTCATGCAGAATCCCCCCCTGGCTGCTTCAGAATGGCTTCCATAGTGCATGTCCGATAATGTTCTTAAAACAACCTTAAACGTTCTTTTTTTAAAATGTGCTACTCACCGAGTCGTCAACGCTGTTCAATGACGTTCAAAAACAAGTTTCGTAAAGAAAAAAACGTTCCTGTAGTGTTTTATTTAGCATTTTGTAAATCCCATTGAGTTCTGTTGGAATAGTCAATATCCCTCCGCCACGGAAACGGAAATGGGGCCTGTTTACGCTTAGTTGTAATCTTTTCGCAAGGCCCAAGTGTTTCTGCTTCACTCTGTGTACTCCGACGTCGAGGTGCTAACGTCTCTGTTAAACACTTTAAAAAACTCTGAAAATGGAATACGAAAGGTGGATTCTTGAGGAGGACATATTGGACTTGGAGTTTGACGGTACAAACATTGTCGCCAACTAGTGGTCTGGAGTGTGCAACGCTTCAGATTCGAACGGGAAGCGGAAGTTTATAAGCGGTTGTGATGTATCGGAAAAAATAGTTCTGGGATTTACAAAATGCAAAATAAAACAAGACAGGAACAGTTTTTCTTCACGAAACTTTTTTTGGAACGTCATTGAACAGCGCTGACGACCCGGTGAGTAGCATATTTTAAAAAAAGAACGTTTAAGGTTGTTTTAAGGACATTATCGGACATGCACTATGGAAGCCATTCTGAAGCAGCCAGGGGGGGATTCTGCATGAGCCAAATAGCAGAGACAGGACCAATCGTCAAAATTTTGTTGTCGATCATTCGATTTCATCCTGGACACTACAGAAAATGGGCTAAAAGTGTTAAAAACACACACACACTTTTTCACCGCGCAGCCAGACCAGCAAAGCTGCTTCGGCCGCGCGTCAGAACTAAACTGGTACAAGCAGCAAAAAGGAAGCAGCAGACGCGATTTTGCTGCTACTGCTGCGTCCGGTGTGAACGCAGCATTATAGTGACCTACGATGACGGTGGAAAGAAGGTTGTGGATAAAAACTGTGCAAGCATTGCGCAACACGTTTTGTTTATGCTAACAGCAACATGACCAAACATGTCAGGCTAACAATCAAAATATACCGAACCGAAAACCGTGAACCGTACTGTGGATTTTGTGAACCGTTCCACCCCTAGTAAACATGTCATACCCGAGCTGTCAGTGGCTCTCAGAAAAGCTGCATTTAAACTGGGATTAGATAACAATAATTTACTAATTTGATTCAGATTAGTTTCATTTTATGGTATCACCAAAAAAGGGGTAGAAAATAGATGCAAGCCACACTTTTCAAACTCTAACTAAAGCAGGTTTGAACCTGAGTAAAACCCAGGTATTGCTTTTTAAACACGCTAGCAGCGGTGTTTACTCCTGCCATGCTGACTGGCCTTGGCTCCGTCTCAGAGCTTGTCCTCTATCCAAACAGTTGGCATTAATATTTCTATCACCCATGTTGTTGTATAGCAGAAACATTCCAGGTGCTTGGCAACATTAAAATGTTCCCTCATAATGTTTGCGTGATGGCCGATGAAATAAAAGCGCTCGACTCTCGTTGCGAGCTCCAGCTGGAACATATTGTGCAGCTTACTTTCGTCGTCCACCTTCCAGGACTGAATGTCTGCTTTATGAGCTCTCCTCTGACGGCTTTAACATTCTTCTAACGTGAGATTTGATCTCAGAATAAAAGGTTGTTTTGTTTTTTCAGGGAGCCTAACAGTTTAATCTTCTGATCTGTGCAGGTATATGATGATGAGGGACTGCTGGCATGCTGTGCCGTCTCAGAGACCCACATTCAAGCAGCTTGTGGAGGACCTGGATAGATGTCTGGCCATGACGTCCAACCAGGTGAGTCTGCCTCGGATGCTCTTTGCTCGTGTTGGAAGACATGTTTTTTTTTTTTTCTTGACGTTCTTCCTTCTTACAGGAATACTTGGAGCTCTCTGTGCCTATGGACCAATACTCCCCCAGCTACCCTGAAACCCGGAGCTCCACCTGCTCGTCTGGCGAGGACTCGGTTTTCTCCCACGACGCAGGAGCGGAGGAGCCCTGCCTTCCCAAGTTCCCCCCTCACTCTAACAGGGCAGCCATTAAGAAACGTTGAGACCTCATTTTCATTTTCCCCACCTGCCTCATGGGGTCGGACCCCCCCCCCCCCACACACATTCCCAGAGATGAAGCTAACATGAATAACTATAATCCTCTGTGAGAGGAGTTCTGAGACTTGTTGGACCGCTCGGACTGCGGCGTTGATGATGTTACGTGGGGCGCTCTGCCTCACCAGGAGCGGCGGTTTTCCTCAAAGCTTCAGTAAATAAGCAGACTCACATTTACCCTCTTCACTTTGGGCATTCCACGGTTGGGTCAGGAGAACGGGGCGGATGGATAAACATGTTTTTCTACCTTTTTTTTTTTCTTTTTTTTTTTTTACTTTAATGGTCATAATTCTGCTTTTTGGACCAAATCCAGGAACTGCAGCGCCCTCATTCACCCTCTCCCTGTAAATACGGTTAGAAAATAAAAAAATATGAATATATATTTACAATATACTCTTATTTTTATTACCATAACGGATTTATTGTCTTTTGTACAAGGATGGTATTGTTTGATCTGTTTTCTAATATAGTCTGGGGGGGGCTGTTGTTACATGAGCTTATTTTTAAATAATTGCTGATAATTCTGTGGCCAGTTTTCATTTTTACAGTTCATTTACTTCCATATCTCAACTTTGCAGTACAAACTAACTCCGTGCTTCGGGGGTTTTCTTCAGCAGAAGGAAGATTTCCGAAGCCTTTTTTAATTTTATTTTTCTTTCTTGCAATGATGTGTATTCTCAAAGTGGTCGCAGCTGTAAATATCCCTGGTTGTACGCCTGGTCTGTCAGCCTGCAGAGCGATCCGCCTTGGTCAGCGTCACGCACTTCCACTGCGCCTTACTTTCATGTGATGAACTGTATAACCGTAATGTAAACGCTTTAACGGGGAGGGGGGTTACATTCGCTGCCGTCGCAGAACACGTATGTCACCGTAAAAAAGGATTGCATTAAATAAAATATTATTGTTAAACAAGCTGAGCTTTCCGAGTATGAACCTCACTCCATAAATGGATCTATAAATATTGTTTTTTTTTATTTTTATGGTTTGGGTGTGAATGATGTTTATGGGGATGAGTGCGATGTTTGCCACTTCAGTCCCCTCGTCTCTTTAAAAGCGGGTTGCTGGGGTCTGATTAGATATGATAATGTGCTGCTGACATCAGAAGAAATGCCGGAGAGTGCACGGAGTTACTAACTGGCAGTAAACGTGTGATTTATGACCGTGTTTCAGCGGCTTGGCGGAGTGCTGGTGCTGCTCTCCCCAATCCATCAGCTGCGCCAACCTTGATGCCCGTCTCTGGCTTCCTGCCATTGGCTGATGCATCACCTGGATTGCCGTCTCCATGCAACAGGCGAAACATCTGACCCCTTTTTAAAAGCAAGTTCTCACAGCTTAGGTCAGTGCAGTTACCCTTTAGTGCATTTTGTATTACATCAAAGGGCCTCAGTGATTTATTTGCTAATGAATAACAGATCCAAGGTACTTTAACAAATGAGGCAACTCCTTCAAGCTATTTAAATTTTCACATCCCCAGAAGTTCTGGGCGAGGAGGAGGAGTAGCAACAATCTTCGAGTCTGACTTACTGATTACTCCCAAAACAATTAATTCCTACAACTCTTTTGAACATTTAACCCTTAATTTCCCTGATCCAAATTTCAAGGCAAGAAAACCTCTTCTTTTTGTAACTTTGTATCGTCCACCAGGTCCTTACTCTGAATTTTTAGATGAGTTTTCAGAGTTCCTTTCTGATTTGGTATTAAATACTGACAGGGTCATCATAGTGGGAGATTTTAACATCCATGCTGACATTGAAGGCGATAGCTTAAGAGCAGCCTTTAATGCTATCTTAGACACTATTGGCTTTGTTCAAAATGTGAATAGTCCCACGCATTCTCATCTTCATACTTTGGATCTTGTGCTGACATACGGCATAGAATGTGAAGAAATAACAGTATTTCCTCACAACCCTGTCCTCTCTGACCACTTTCTAATAACCTTCAGGATTACTTTAACAGAGTTCTCCTCCCCCAAAAGAAGGTTCAATTTTAGTAGATCTTTATCAGATAGTGCAGTTATAAATTTTAAAGAATCTGCTTCACTTTCTCTCTGCTCTGTGTCACTGAGCAGTGCTGCAGAGTGCAAAAGCTTAGCTTATTCCCCTTCACAGGTTGATGATTTTGTTGAGGGGGTTGCTAGTTCTCTGCGTATTGCCTTAGACAACGCAGCTCCTTTGAAAATGAAAACCGTTAAAAATAGAAAGCTTGCTCCTTGGTTTAATGCAGAGCTGCGTACTTTGAAGCAAAATGCTAGGAAACTGGAGAGAAAATATCGCTCCACAGGCCTGCGAGAGTCCTTCCTAGTCTGGAAAAATGGTTTACTGTTGTATAAGAGGACCCTTTGTAAAGCAAGAGCAGCATACTTCTCCTCATTAATAGAGGAGAATAAGAATAATCCTAGATTTCTTTTTAATACAGTTGCCAAACTCACCCAGAGCCATAGCTCTGTTGAACCGTCCATTCCACCTGCTCTTAGCAGCAATGATTTTATGGGATTCTTTATAAATAAGATTGATCTTATTAAAAATAAGATCATAAGCACTCCTCTATCCGCGATTGTACCTGAGGTAGTCATGGAATCTGAACCGGGTTTAGACTGCTTTGATCCAGTTGAACTCTCTGAATTAGCAAAATTATTGTCTTCATCTAAGCCTTCAACTTGTATGTTAGATCCAGTTCCAACCAGGTTATTTAAGGAGGTATTCCCTTTGATCTCCTCCTCCATTTTAGATGTGATTAATCTATCTCTGTTACAGGGATATGTACCTAAAGCTTTTAAGATTGCTGTAATTAAACCTCTGCTTAAGAAACCGTCTCTTGACCCAGATGACTTGGTCAATTATAGACCTATATCCAATCTTCCTTTCTTATCCAAAATTCTTGAGAAAGTAGTTGCCAAACAAGTTTGCGATCACTTCCACCATAATGAACTTTTTGAAGAGTTTCAGTCTGGCTTTAGAGCTCATCATAGCACTGAAACAGCTCTGGTGAAAGTCACTAATGATATTCTCATGGCCTCAGATAATGGACTTGTATCTGTGCTCGTCCTGTTGGATCTTAGTGCTGCATTTGATACAGTTGACCATAATATTCTTTTAGAAAGACTTGAATATTTTGTTGGAATTAAAGGAACAGCACTAGACTGGTTTAAATCTTATCTATCTGATCGAATTCAGTTTGTTCATGTTAATGATAGATCTTCAACACGCTCAAAGGTTACCTGTGGAGTACCACAGGGATCAGTGCTAGGACCAATTCTCTTTACTTTATACATGCTCCCAATTGGTAGAATTATTAGACAGCATGGGATTAATTTCCACTGTTATGCTGATGATACCCAGCTATATCTGTCTATAAATCCAGATGAAGCTAACCCATTACATAGATTACAGGCATGTCTTGAAGACATAAAAACCTGGATGACTCTTAATTTTCTGCTTCTGAATGCAGACAAAACAGAAGTTATAGTCTTTGGACCAGAGTCTCTGAAAAAGAAACTGATTAGCCAGTCACTTCATTTGGATGGGATTAAACTGATTTCAGATAATAAAGTAAAAAATCTTGGTGTTATTTTTGATCAGGACCTGTCATTTAAATCCCATATCAAAGAGGTTTCTAGAATTTCCTTCTTTCATCTGAGGAACATTGCAAAAATTAGAAATATCCTGTCCAGGGGTGATGCTGAGAAACTAGTCCATGCATTTGTTACTTCAAGGCTGGACTATTGTAATTCTTTACTATCAGGAAGTCCACAAACTGTAGTTAAAAGCCTTCAGCTGATCCAAAATGCTGCAGCCAGAGTTCTAATGAAAATGAAAAAGAGAGATCATATCTCTCCTATCCTGGCTTCTCTTCATTGGCTTCCTGTTAAATCAAGAATAGAATTTAAAATCCTCCTTCTCACATATAAAGCCTTAAATGGCCAAGCTCCATCTTATATCAGAGATCTGATTGTTCCTTATGTTCCTAACAGAGCACTTCGCTCTCAATCCGCAGGTTTACTAGTGGTTCCTGGAATTTCTAAAAGTAGAATGGGAGGCAGATATTTTAGTTATCAGGCTCCTCTCCTGTGGAACCAACTACCAGTTTTAGTCCGTGAGGCAGACACCCTGTCTACTTTTAAGGCTAGGCTTAAAACTTTCATTTTTGATAAAGCTTATAGTTAGGGTGGCTCAGGTTATCCTGAGCTATCTCTATAGTTATGCTGCTATAGGCTTAGACTTTTGGAGGACATAGGGACCCCCATTTCATCATTCTGCTTCATTCTCTCTCTGTTCTCCTATTCTGCAGAATCTGTTAGTTCAATCTCTAACCTTCTGCTCTCTCTGCTTTTCCTCAGAGTAGCTTTGCCTCGTCTGTTCCTGTTTGGCTGTGACGTCATCCTGGAAAAAAACATCAGCTGTGCTGCTTCTATCAACACCCTTGTTAATAGATGTTGGAGATCGGCCTGTTTTCCAGTGTGGTCCTGTTTCTCTGACCGTGACTGAGTGGATGTGCTCTCTTCGTCCTCTGGCATGGGAGCTGCCTTGGAGCTCGTCTGCCTGGCTGTGTGTTTCCTGGACGGGGCCGCCTTTTACAGCTGCTTTTTGTATCTCTGCTTCTGTCTCCTTGAACCCCAGTCGGCCTCAGCAGATGGCCGCTCACACTGAGCCTGGTTCTGCTGGAGGTTTCTTCCTGTTAAAAGGGAGTTTTTCCTCTCCACTGTCGCTACAAGCATGCTTAGTGTGGGGGATTGTATTTGAGTCAATGAGTCAATGCAATCAACTGGTTTTCCTTAGATAGAAAACTTTGTATCAATTTGACTGGATGATCTGGTTGAACTGTAAAGTGCCTTGAGATGACATGTGTTGTGAATTTGGCGCTATATAAATAAACTGAATTGAATTGAATTAACACCAACAGGAATCAAATCCTTTGAGATGTGAATCAGTTGTTTTTCCCCAATATCTCTTAACTTTGTTATATTTTGAGTCTAAACCTTAATGAAGTGTTTATCAGCTGTATCTCTACCAGTTTTGTACGCCTAGATTCTAACATTTTCACTCGTATCGTCCTTGAAACGGAAACATCCCAAACCAGGGGTTGAAAGCGTCTGTCCTTAAGTGCCACTGCCCTGCAGCTTTTGCATGCATCCCTGTTTCATATTGCCTGAAACAAATGTCCTGGCTTAACTACCGAACATGCCATGGAGGTTGAGCGCTTTAGTTTGCGGCGTGGACCTCCACCCCTCTCTGAAGTCTTCTGCATCAGGCTGCAGTCCTGTAACTTAGATGCATCTTATTTACACAACTCTTAATTGTGTAAAGAAAGAAGGGCTAGCATATGGAGGGAATGCATGCACCACATGTGATCTCAAGGCATGGCTGCTAAATCCCTATTGAACCAGAAAACGATCATCGACCAGCAGGTGTACGAGT